CAATCTAGCAAAAGCCCTTTCAGCACAGTTTCAAAGGGCTGAAGAAAAAAAAATTGGTAGACTCTGGCACTTGAAATATGTGAGAAATATTTTGCACAGCATCTGTTCCCTTTGAGCAACGCTAACATAATAGGGAAAGATGCAAAGTTTTGGGATGAAACTCATTTGCAGTTGGAATATAAAAGAAGGGTTTATGTAGTAAAGGTAATAAACTGGATATATAGATGGTTCCAAAGGCAAACCTGAAGAAATTTTGGGAAATTTGTCAGAGGACTTGTTGAGCTTTGGGGTTGCATTTAGTGATTGAATCACCTTTTTAAAAAATAATTTTTTAAATTTAATGCTTTTTGTTTCTTGCATCACCATTGTATCCCATGTATCCTTCCCCCTCCCCCACTTAGAGAGCCATTTGTTTTCTAGAGAGGAAAAAAAACTAGCATAACTGATAGGTACATTGAGAAAGTCCCAAAATGTGTGTTATGTGTAAACCTGTGGACCTTCTACCTCCATGGAGGGGTGGGTTGGAGGTGTCTTTTCATCTGTCATCATTTGAGTCCAGCTTCATCTTTATAATTTTGTTACATTTACTTTTGAATTTTTTGGTGTGTCATTGTTATTTCCATTTACATTGTAGCTACTGCGTATATTCTTTTCTTGGCTCTGCTTACTTCACTCTGCACATACTCGTGTAGATCTTTGTATACTTCTCTGTATTCATCACATGCATAATTTCTTTTTTCTTTCTTTTTTACCAATTAAATATATTCAATTTTATGGTCAGCTGCTTCCCTGTGACACTTGCCTGTACCCTCCATCCTGACAAAATGAAGGATTGATGCTTCAGGCCTCCTGGCTCAGGCATGTTATAAGCCCCATTGGTGCGCAACTCTTTTTTTTTTTTTTAATTAAACTATTTATTTATTATTTCTTAGTTTTCAACATTTACTTCCATAAGATTTTTTTTTTTCATAAGATTTTGAGTTTCAAATTTTCTTCCCCTCCCACTCCTCCCCCTTCCCCAGGATGGCATACAATCTGATACAGGCTCTACTTATACTTTCATATTAAGCATATTTTTATGTTAGCCATGATGTAAAGAAGAATTAGAACCAATGGTAGGAGCCATGAGAAAGAAGAATCAAAACAAAACAACAAAAGAAAAGGAGAGCAAATAGTATGCTTCCATCTGCATTCAGATTCCATAGTTCTTTCTCTGGATATGGATAGCTTTTTCCATCATGAGTCTTTTGGAATTATCTTAGATCCTTGCACATGCATAATTTCTTATAGCGCAGTAGTATTCTATTACATTCACGTACAACAATTTGTTAAACCATTCCCCAGTTGATGGGCATCTACTTTGCTTTCAATTCTTTGCCATCACTCAAAGTGCTGCTATAAAAATTTTGGACTATATGAAGACTTTTTTTCTTATTGATGGATTCCTTGGCCCAGTATTAGGTTCTCTGGTTTAAAGGGTATGCACATTTTAGAAATTGCTTTCCAAAGTGGTTATATCATTTCACAATACCTTTCTTCCCAAAATTCCTTTCACGGTTACTGATGCCATTTTTTCTCATTTTGGCCAGTTTGAAAGGTGAGGTAAAACCTCAGATTTGTTTTGATTTGCATTTCTCTTATTATTAGTAATTTGCAGTATTTTTTTGGTATGTGGTTGTGAACACTTTGTAGTTCTTCTTTTGAGAACTAGTGGTTCATACCCTTTGACCATTTATTTATTGGGGAATGGCTATTAGTGTTATATATATTTATTAATTGTTTACATATTTTGGATACCAAGCCCTTATCAGAGAAATTTGAGACACAAATTTTTCCCCACATTGGACCACTTCCCTTCTTACCTTAGATGCAGAAGTTTTTCAGTTTTAAGTAATCAAAGTTACCTCTTTTATCTTTTGTAATTGCCTCTGTGTCTTGTTTGCTTAAGGTTTAAATCTCTTACCCATTTTTTGTCCTGTTATGTTCTTTTGGGAGATGTATGATCCTTAGGTTGTCTCTATTTATCCTGTTCTGAGATCTGTATGTTTTGCTTGCAGAATGAGCACATTTTCTTTTAATGTTCTTGATTTTTGATTCTCTTCTTTTAGATTGTTTTTTACTTTTGTTTATTTGCATTCACAATCTATTATTTTCTCTTTTGTTTATTTGGTGAGACTTGCCATTGGAGATTCAAGTTCTTCTATTCTGCCCATTGTTTTTGCTGTGCAGGACATAATTCTGCTCTCATAATTCTCATTTCTCTTTTAAACCACTCAGGAATAGCATATTGTGGTTCCATGTTCTCCTCAACTTCCACAGAGTACTCTTCTGTTTTTGTTAAATGTGGGATCATTTTCCTTCATTTTGCAGTGTTCATAGATACCTAGAGTCATTTACTAGATTTGAAGGCCATATTTTCTTCTGTTGTTCTTGTTTTTATCTGTTTATCAAGGTCTTTGATATTTCTTCTTCCTGGAGTCTTTGATACTTTCAGTTCCCCCCCCCCCCCCGCCCCTTATTTTCTTTGTTTACTTCTTACTCCCTCACCTCTGATTGTAGTTTCCTTGGGGACTTGATCTCAAAGTGTCTCGGCCTCCTCCCACACTGATCAGTTTATGGTTTACCAGCATAGGTCTCTGCCCCAGCTGACTTTTGGTTGGTCAGAACTCAGCACAGCTGGATGCTGTGCTTTTCCTTCAGGCTTGGTGGAGTGCTACACAGCTCCTTACACATACAGTATTCTGTCCTGGTGACCTTTCCCATTCCCTTTGTTCCTTAGTTCTTTGGTCAACACTGGCAGTTCAGAGCCTGCTTTCCCCAGCACCAGCAGTTTAGAGCTACCAGCATTTCAGAATTTTGCAGAATTAGTGCTTCCAGGTTACAGTCCTTGGCAGGCTTTTGCTTCTCAAGGGCTATAGCCAAGCTGCTGTCAAGACCCAAGAAAGCTTCTACAGCCTGGCCCAGGGTCTTTATGGTACTGAAAGGAGCTGGGGTGGGAGGGACCTAGATGTAGGGATGGGTTTTGATGTAAGCCTGCGTCACATCCTTAGGTCTTCTAGTACAGCCTCACTGCTGGGTAATGTAAGAGGCAGAAGAGGGGTGCTGAGTGAGCTTAGTGTCTGTGAAGGTCAGTCGGTTTGTGCATTTTTTTTTTACCTGTTTTTAATTCTTGGTGTCCTTGACTATGGAAACAGCTGAAATTGCTATATCTTTTGTGCATAATTTCTGTTTTGAGAAGGTTTGAGAGGTCATGAGGATTTGAGAAAGTGTATAGTCTGCTATCTTGTTGCTCACACGACCTATCAATTTGCTTTTTAAAAACGATGCCATCTTATTCTTTCCTGCCCTCCTTGTCATAAGTGTTCCTCTTTTGAATCTTCATAGCATTTTGTTTGCATTTTATTGTAATTTGCCTTGTTCTTTTTTTTCTATCCACATACCATTCATTTTCTGTAATAGAATATAAACTCTTTGAAAGAAGAAATTTTGTCTTAGTCAACTTAATAGCCTTTAGTGCCAGCACAAGGCCTTACATGTAGTAGTTTCTCAGGAAATGATGCACAAGGTCCCCCTCTAGTCAGAATTCTAGGACTCTGTATGAAATTTGGGGATTTGGCCTAAGGAGAACATAATTAAGTTTCTTGACTGCTTGTGTTGTTATTTTCAATCCCCAACTCTGGTTTTGGGACACCAAACTGGATATAAGCCATAGCTGGCTTGTTAAGGTTCTATTAGTAGTCCTTGAGAATTTTCCCCCAGCTAGGAAGAGAAAGGAAGGGAAGCTAACAACATGTTACAGTTTCAGGTCCTGCCTGCAGTTCAAGTAAAAAGTGCTACCCTGCTGGTAGGCACCCCAAATAAAGAGGCTGAAATTTCAGATAGGGAAGAAGCCAATCCTGGGGTAGTAGGAAGGAAAAAAAGGATATTTATATTTTCTAAAGCAGATAATACAGTTGAGAAGTTTTCACATGGCTACTGGAGGGCTGCTAGGTGGTCACCAAATGCAAATTAAATGCTTCCTATAATCATCATACTGTTCTGGATTCTAGGTATACAAGATGAAAAATGACACAGTTCTTGCTGTCATGGAGTTCATAGTCTGGGGTGGTACACAGAAAACCAACAGATTATTGATATACAGTATTTTTTGACAAATACGTGAGAGAGCTGTCAAATAAAGTGTTAGGTGAGGCTGGAGGGGGAAGTTGGTTTGTAGTCTGGGAGGTGCCAAAGCTCAGGGAAAAGGGATGTTCAGATTTGGCTGGAAAGTAGTTTTGTGGAGGAGGAATATCAGAGGGAGTGCTGAAAAGGGCTGGTGATATCAGATTATTGAAGGTTTTTGATATCCGAGAATTTTGAGTTTAAACTTTCTGATTCTTTTGAGATGGTTGTGTTCACAATTTGCATCCATGTAGGATTCCCAGTGGAATGTTAATATTAAAAAGGTGGACTTTTGCATGTCCCGGGCAGTTTGGGATCTTTGAAAGCACAGCTCTAATACAAATGAGAAGATGAGTCAAATCTGTCAGTCAGTGAGTGTTTATTCATTGTCTCTCATGTGCCAGGTTTTGTGCTGAGTGCTAGAGAGGCCCATTCAAAGGGCTCTGAGAAATTTGTGGAGAGAGCTATTACTTGTACTTAGGGAGATTAGGGAAAACATTATGGAGGAGTAGGTTTTGAAGGGTTAAAGATTTCAACAGTAGCCATGGGGGCTTGGGAAGTCCATTTTTAGGCTTTGCCAGATGGCTTGAGCAAAGGCACAGAGATGACAGAGGGAAGGATAAGAATGGGGGATGATGAATAATTGAGTGCTTAGAATGTAGTGAAGTAAGGACAAGTGGGTCCAGATTGTAGAGGGCCTTGAATGCCAAACTCAGGAGTATTTGGTAGGCATTGAGGAATCCTTAAGCTTTTGAGCAAGAAAGTGCCTTGTTCAGAAGTGATTATTCAGAACATTGTGTAAGTATTTGGTGTGAAGAATGGAATGAAAGTGAGGATACCTTGGAGTCAGGAAGACCAGTTAGGAGATCTTTATAAGTAGAGTCCAGTATTCCAGGGAAGAGGTGGTCAGGGCTTGAACTGCGGAGATAAGAACGGGAAAGAAAGGCTGAATTATTATATCTGTGGTGGTTTCCCAGGTCTATCCTGTGCTCTCCCTTTCCCTGTTCCTCTTTTCTCTCTTCCCCTCTCTTTCAGTGACTTTATCAGGTTACAGGTTTAATGATCATGTCTGCACAGATCTCTATATCTAGCTCCCATGTCTCCCCAAGCTCCCACCCCACATCACTACTTTACTGTTGGACATTTCAAACTGGCTGTCCCAGGGATACTTCAAACTTAACATGTCCAAAACAGAACTCATTCTCGATGCCTTTTCCCCCTCACCCCCCTAGCTGAAGTGCCACCTTCTTCTAAACTCTTCTAAACTTCTCTATCTGTTTTGAAAAGATACCATTTTTCTGGTATCTCAGGTCCATGACCTTGATGCTCACCTGGGCTTCTCATTCCTCACTCCGTACATATCCAGTCAGTTGGCAATTCTTGTCATTTCTACCTTATTCACACATAGTCACTATTTTAGTTTAGGCTTTTTACCACCTCTCAGCCAGATTATTGCAACAGCTTCCTAACTGACCTCCCTGCCTCGTCTCTCCCCACTCTAGTTCAACTGCTGCCGAACTGATCGTGTTTAAGCTCAGATCTGACCACGTCATTCCCTTTCCTTATAATAAACTCCAGTGGCTTCATGTTGCCTCTTTGACAAAAGATGAACTCCTGTTTAGTTTTCAGTCCTTCACACTTTGGTTCCAACCTATTTTCCAACCTCATTGTGCATTGTTTCCCTCCCACACTCTGCTATCCAGTCAAACTGGCCTGCTTTTTGTCCCTCATACATTACACGCCTGTGTTCTGTTTTGCTGTGTTTGCATTGACTTTTCCACATGCTTGGAATGTATTGTCTTCTCACTGTCACCTCCGGGAATCCCTGTTGTGCTTCAAGACACAGTTCAAACATGCAGGCTTTCCTGATCTCCCCAGCTGTCGGTGCTCTCCTTCTTAGAGTCCCTTGTATCTAACTACTTTGTGTACATTTATATATGTCACAATGCCTAGTGCAGCACCTGGTTTACAGTAGGTGCTGAACAAGTGCTTGTCAGTTATTTAAGGTAGAATCAACAGAACTTGGCAAATGATTGCCTGTTGTAGTTGAAAAAAGAACAGTTGCAGAAATTACTGATATTTTTGTAGTATTTTAAAGTTTGTAAAGGGATTTACATTATTTCATTTGATCTTCACAATAAACCTGTGGTGTAGATACTACGAGTAGTATTATCCCTATTTTACAGATGAGGTAACTGAGACTTACCATGATTAAGGGACTTGTCTGCAGCCACAAAGCTTGTAAGTAACAGATGTGGAATATGAGCCCAGCTCTTCCTAACTCAGAGATGATTCTCAAGTTTAGTCTTTCAAATGCCTAACTATCAGCAGAATTGAAGTGGTGAGGGCAGGGGCAAGTTTGGGAAAGATTATTTCTGTTTTGGACATTCTGAGTTTGAGGTGTTGATTGGACATCCAGGTGGAGATGTCCATTACAGGCAGTTAGAAATGTATCACTGAAGCTAAGGTGGGGAGAGGGTGGTTGTGGAGATAAAGATTTGGGAATCAAAGCCATGAGAATGAATGGTGAGATTGTCAAGGGAAAGACAACAACGAGAAGAGGGCTAAGGACAGACCTTGGGGAGGTTGGAGGTTTGAGGTTGAAGTGGAAGAACCCAGAAGGAACAGTAAAGGGAGGTGGGATATCCATGAGGGTGCAGAGAAGAGGGAGCAGTCAGGAGGAGGAGATACCCAGCATTGTCAAATGTTGCAGAGAAATATAGCAGTGTTAGGTTTGCAAGAAAGCCATTGGATTTGAGGTTTAGAAGGCTGGTCACTGAGGATTTCAGAGTAGGGAGAGAAGCCAAAGTCAGTGTTGGAGATGTGGCAATGTCGTTATACTGTAATTCCACATCAGATATTCGTGGTTTTTGAAATAAATGATTTTTGCAACTTTGAGCCAAGAAAGTGCTACTTCTCATTTTTAAATAATTAAGTGAATATAATTTTGTTTTGTGGATTTCATGACATCACTTGAGGTAACTCAGAGTATGACTGGGATACCACATGACCACTGTGAGGGATCTCTGCTCTAGGAGAACCAGCACGCTTTTCATGCATGAAAATGTCTCCGTGAGGGGGCAGCATATTGCTGCTCTGAAAGCGAGACAGTGTCATTTTTAGAATCAGCCCTAACAGCTGTAAGGAGGCACAGCTGCTCCAAGGGTTCTTGACTTCTCTGGGCTCTGTACTTTGTAATGAGTCCCAGGGGTCCCTTGCTGAAATTTCTACTTGAGGCTGGGAATGTTAACTTATAGCACTGTCTGGAGACTCTGGCTTAACATATCTTTGTGTCTCATAGGGCAGCAGAAGAATTAACACATCCATGAAGATAGTGCTCATCCCCTCTGAGTAATAATAATAAAAATAACTGACACGTTGTTCTTTAAAGTTTGCAAGGTGCAGGTAGTAAGGTAGGTACATAGGTATCCATATCCCCCTTTTGAAGAAGGGAAAAGGCACTGAATCTCTGAAAAATTAAGTGACTTGTCTCCTGTTTTAGGCTTAGGCTTTAAAAAGTAGTTTTCCCCCTTGGAATTTCATTCTGACATAAGAATCCAAGGAGAGGAATCTGAGCTCTTCTTGGTATCCTTGTTCATTTTTTACTTTTGGAGGCAATTGAGGTTAAGTGACTTGCCCAAAGTCACACAGCAAGTAACTATAACTATAATATGTGTCTGTGTGTGTGTGTGTATGTGTATGTATATACACATCTGCTATAATAACTAGCTGGATTTGAACTCAGGTCCTCCTAACTCTAGGGCCCATGCTCTATCTACTCTACCACCTACCTGCCCTTTCCCCCTTCATTTCTGAAACAACCAGAGTAATGTCTTTCCAGGAATTCTAGGGACATTAGCCAGAATCTGCAGGGTACTTGGAGAGGTGCTGCAGGGCACCAAGTGGGAGCCACAGCCTTGTTTTTATGGTAGCTATTGAACTGCAGCGGATACTAAATAGAAATCGAAATGTCTCTGTGTTCTAAAGGCTGGAAGTCATGTGAAGACTCTGTTTCGGTATTGGGTTAGCAATTTGAGACTAACTATGAGACCCTGGGCAAATCAGTTTCCTTTTCTGGGATGACTCATTTTCCCTTATATAAAGTGTATAGATGATCTCTAAGATCTTTGGTATGCTTTTGGTTTACAAGTCTCTAAGAATTTTTATCATTTAATTTGTTGTCACGTACCCCAAGACCGTGAAGTAGGCAATCTGGGTATTCCCCTTTTTGGATCAAGCTGTGGATACACAGCTAGGATAAATGATTTGTCTAGGGTCCCCTAGACAAATACTCCATGACTAGTAGAACTAGAACTGGAAGCTCCCAAGTTTCCTGTTTATTCTCTGAATCTTACCACTTCCTCAAATAAGTCTCACATTCCTGTTTTCGGACTTCCTTCCCATGATGACAAAAACCCACAGGGCTGGTTTGTGTCCATTTCCTTGGTCTTTTTATAACCTAGAGCTGAGTGGGAAAGAGTTAATTTTAAGCTGGAAGTCCAGCTGCCAGAAGACAATTCTGCCTGAGTTAGCCTACTCACACATCTATTTTTTCCGTTCCTTAAAGAGGGTGTTTATGTGTTGTTTGAAGAGAGGAGTTCCTCAAGCTAGCCTTCATCCTTAGAACTGAAGTATCTTCGTTTTATGAATCAAAAGCCTGATGTAAATGCAGTCAGTTTCTATTAACTTCAGTCAAATGTCATGAGAAAGAGGTTGGCTAGTCAGAAAAGCACCTGTGGTGCCTGGGTAAGCTGGTGCCATAAGGTACTTTGTTGCCTCTGCCTCTGTCTTTCCTGGCAGAGCACAGCTAATTATTACTATGGTGGTGGTGCTCTGAGAACATTTCTCTAACACCTACGATGGCTTTGCAGATTGTTTTCCCAAATCACTCAGCCCACGAAGATTCTGTTCTGCCCACAAAATCTGCATTGGCCAGGCGTGCATCTCCCCAGGCTGCCCCTATTGCAGCCATCTTCAACTCTTTCTCTGCTCATGGCAACACATGTCAAGTAGCCCTCATAAAAACAAAGAACTGAGGTGAGAGGATGTAGCAGTCTCTTTAAGGCTTGACTGGCTGATCAGTAAACATTCAAAGCACATTCATTCTGTTCAAGGCCTTGGACACGAGGCATAGACACAGCTGACTGCAGTGGGACAGTAGCTGTACACAGCCTGTAGTCATGTAGATAGTATGTGTTAGGCAGGATTCAAACCTCAATCTCCTGACTTTAAGTCCAGGTTTATTTTGGCTGTCATAGACAAACCATAGGCTACCCTGAGGAAAATTTGCACTCTGTTTTTTAACTGCTCTGAAGTAAAATTGATTGTATTTATATATACACTGAACTATCACTTGGAGAATACAAACTTTTGTGATTTACTTTACATACCAGTCACAGGTTTTAAACACGTTGTTCAACTTAGAGTATCGACTAGTGTTTTTGAAATTGGTTTTAGTTTCTTTATAGGATCCAGCCCAGTCATTATTCCCTATCGTCATGGGTGAGATGAAAGGAGCTTGTTTGGGGCAGCTTGTTTTACCTCTTAAGGTTTAAATTCTAATCCTCTTCTTGCCTTTGTTCAAATGGTCATGCGCCTCTGCTGTGGCTGAGCTAAGCTCCCAGGGCAGTTCCCAGGCTCACCATTACAGAGGCATGTTTGGGTCAGGAGTTAGTTACCTGCCTACTCCCTCCTCTTCATTGACTCTAGCTGCTTTTTGTCTTATCTTTTATGGGCTACTTTGGATTCATCACTAGTGGTTATCCCTAGGGCTTTTTGCTAGCTAATCAGTAAAACTGCATGTTCCCCTAAGGGATCTTTGCTTGCAGTCTCTTCAAATCTTACCCAGACAGAGCCTTATGTTAAAATAGCTCCATTCCGTCCTGGCCTCATCTCTATTTGGCCCTGGGCACTTGTTCTGCTGTATGCTGTGGTGGTGGGACATACCAGGTACTATTGAAAATGTGGATGCTACCTATGTCTTGTTCTTGCTCCACTGGTTTGACTGAAGTGACTTTTACAAATAGGATTTTCTGAAGAAAGGATGGGGAGATTGTTGTTGAGACCACGTTGGGAGAGATGTCACCTTCTTGTCTTCAGATTTTCATCTAATCATCCACATATTTATTAAGTGCCTGCTGTGTTGGACCGTATACTAAGCACTGAGGATAAAAAGACAAAGATTGAACAGTTCCTGTCCTTGTGGAGCTTACATTCTAGTTAAGGAGATAATACACATATATATCAGTATATACAGAACATACACACACAATAAATCGAGGCAGTGGGGAGTGGGCACTGAGGAGCTGAGGAGATCAGAGAGGCTTCATGTAGAAGGTGGTGCTTGAAAAGAGTTTGAAGGAAACTAGGAATTTCAGGAGGCACAGGGGAAGAGGCAGTACAGTGTAGGCATACATAGGCAACAGCCAGGGCAGAAGCTGGAGATGGGGAAGAAGTGGCCAGTAGGCCAGTGTACCTGGACTGATGACTCAGCTATAGGGGTGTGTGTGGGGGGGGGGTGTGGGTATATGTGTAGAAGGAACATGTGGGAAGAGTGGAAAGGTAGAAAGGGGCCAGGCTAGGAGGAGCTTTAAGTGACAGAGGAGTTTATAGAAGCTATTCCAAAAACCTCAGTGCGGTCTGAAGCTTTAATAAGCTTTAAAGGTGCATTAATCCCTTTGGAACCCTCTACATTGAATCCTAGAGGTAATAGGAGCCATTAGAGTTTGAAATGGTTAGACTTGTGATTTTGGAAAACCCCTTTGGTGGCCATGGGGAAGATGGAGTGGAATGGGGAAGGACCTGAGGCAGGGAACCCAGCTAGCAGCCTCTTGAAAGAGTCCAAGTGATGAAGGCCTGGACTAGAAAGGTAGCTATGTGAGTGGAAACAAAGAATCTGATGTGGGAGGAATCGTGGGCTAGATTAGATAAGATTTGGCAGCTGACTGGATAGGTGGGATGAGAGAGAGAGTTCTGTTGATTATACCTTCAAACATCTCTTGTCTATACCCCCTTCTCTGTTGACACGGCAGCCTTGTTGGGCCAAGCCCTCATCTCCTCACCCCCGTGCTAGCTTTTCAGTCTGCTTGCATCTTACTCACCCCAGTGTACTCTTCAACCCAGGGACATTGTTCTCTTTGCTGTTTGTCTCACAAGATACTCCATCTCCATTATGGGCATTTTCACTGCTGGTTGTCCTTGGTGTCTGGAATGTACTTCCTACTCATCTGCATCTCTTGGCTTCCCTGGCTTCCTTCAAGTCCCAACTAAAATTCCACCTTCTAAAGGAAGCCTTTCCTGGTTCCCTCTTAATGCTAGTGCCTTTCCTTTTTTGATTTGTCTCCAATTTACTCTGTATAAAACTTGTTTGTATATAGTTGTTTGCATGTTCTCTCCCCTGTTATACTATGAGCTCCTTGAGAGACTGTTTGTTTTTGTTTTTAACCTTTCTTTGTATCCTCGTTGCTTAGCACAGTACCTGGAACATAGTAGATGTTTAATGACTGACTAGACTGACTGACAAGAATGGTTAGTTCATAAGAGCTTAGAGAAAAGGTAGAAATAACTGGGGATATGTCAAAGGATTGTGAAATGAAGAGGGAGATTGTAGTGAAAACTTTTTTTTTTTTTTCCAGTAAAGTGTGAGGTGTAGTCCTCACTTAAGAGGCAGGGTTGTGGGGGTGCTGTGGGAAGCTTGGGAGAGAAGGGAAGGTTTAGAACAGCCTCCATGGTAAGTGTGATGGAGACTTCATTAGGGATGAGTAAAGGGACTACCTTGCTGCATTGAGGGTCCTGAGGAGATTAGCATAATAGCCCTTCTTCTGGTTCCATTCCTCTTCTTCTGGAGGAAGAAGATGGTACAAGCAGTTCAAGGTTGGAGTTAGGCAAGATGTGAGTAGTGATAGCATAAGGGATCAAAGCACTTGAGAGTAGAGGATAAGATGATGTTGAACTCACTGAAGTGTCTGGATTGGGGAGAGAGTAGAGAGGGGTCAGGAGAGAAGAGATGACGGCCTGGGAAAGTACTCCAGGGAGCACAGACTGGAACGTCAGCTGAGGACGAAGAACAGGTCTAGGAAAAGTGTGGCCCAAATAGGAGATCATCATTGGATAAAGGAACTTCTGAGTTCTTGTTTGGGGAGGGACTATTAAATTCGTAGGTGCTGTGAAATTTCTCCTTAGAAAAGCATTTCCAAACTGAGCTCAGAACCCTGCTCTTCTGCCAGATGGGTGAATGTGAATAGGTAGGTGTGCCGAGGGAATTTTGGTCCTAAAGGAGCATGAACATTAAGGAACCAAATAAAACCCATATTAGCTAGAGAGTAGCAACTGTGTAAGCGCTGAGTTTGTGTAGAGGAACCTGGGAAGTTAGGATCTCCTCATTCTGCCGTTAGTGTGAAAGTGATACCCTCAGTGCATGCAGTAGCTCAGGCCCCAGTCACCTTACGCCGTGACATCATTCAGTCTCCTCTGCCCTCCTCACTTCCTCTGTTGAGTCCCTACCCCACACAAACCATTGTCTTCTACTATTCCTTCTCATAACATGTGAGAGACTCGGGGACCAATCCATCCCATTCTGTCCCATCTTTGTCCTCCCCTTCCGCCACACAAATGTTGTGTCTTACACGGGGCATAGATTCCCTTCGTACTGTTCATGTCTGACACGTACAGATTCCTTGTTGCCTTCTTCTTCTATATTGTGTAGATACTCTCTAATATTATCCAGTATTTGATACTTACCTTATACCATCCCACACCAAACCGTCTTTCTGCATTTGTGCCATAGACTGCTCTCTTATGGTGTGAATGAAACTCATGCATTCCCCACCCCAGCCCATGTGTGATGTATACCCTCTATCATCTCACTTCTCACTTTACATCTGATAAAGCAGTTCTCCCCTTGGTTTCAGCACAAATATACAACCATTTCTCTTCACATTGTCCCCTGTTGCCTTTATCTGGTTCCCACGTTTTCTGAGTCTTCTTCTATTTTTGGTGTATTACCAGCTTTCCAGATGAGAGTTTATGGATTCTCTGTGTTCTAAAGGATGGGCAAATGACTTTGGAAAAGTGGTCCACAGCTCCCTCCTCATGGTGCAGTTGAGGAAATTGGAGGCTGGGAAGGGAAGTGACTTCCTCTTGCTGATGTGGCGAATCGCTGGTGGGTCCAGGACTCGAGACCAGGTTTTCTGATCTGAACTCTCATGTTCCTGCCACTTTAACCGTACTCCTTGCTAAATACCATTTACTAGCTCCAGTTTTCCTTTAATTCGTTTCATCCTATTTTACCTCATTTTGGTTAAAAAAAAATTGGTTTAAGAAATAGCTAGATGCCTCTCTGTCATCTAACCTTCAATGCTTTGAAGATCAGGCAGTTTTTTGGAGGCTCGTCACTTTGTTACCCATGACTTACGTAGTGTATTATTTCTTGAGCGGCTGTGGCAAATGTTCGGCTTACCTCCAGGCACAATTCCTAGTGTTCTTAGCACTTGGTGTGGATTTTAAAGATATAAATAACTCATTATGTAAAGTACTAAATGTTCTCACCATTGAGCATGCTCAGTTACATGTTTTTATATTCCCTAAACACTTAAACTTCAGCAAATTGGCTTAGTGTTCGAGTAGCTGTTTTTAGTGTAACTTTGGCTTTAGAAAGAGTAGTTTCATATCTGAATATGTTTGACAAATCCAGGGAAAGCTATTCCTAAGGGGTTCCAGTTATACTGGATTGTAGTGGTGTATACTTGCATGGTCTTTGGAGATAGGCTCAAAAAGCCATTCAGCTACCAGCAGCGTTTCCTTCCAAGTTTGTCCCTTGATTTCCAGCATCACAGAAATGGCTGCAAGCCTCATTGGATGAGAGAGTTACAGTGTTTTGATTTCTAGTTGACATTTTAGTAGAAATTTAATCACAGTTATCTAAACATTTCTAATATTAGTGCATATTTTTAGATGATAGCAAAAGCCTCTTTAGATACTTAATAGTTAATTTTGCTTTTTTCAAGTTGGCTAAAGCAGAGACCCAATGAGACCATGATAGACTATATACTCAATCCCTTTTTGGCCTGTCCTAGACACAACTCTAACCCTGGCCAGCAGCCACCAGTGTTCTTGATCACATGGGAGGCAGGGGCCAAGGTTGACGTTTCAACACATGTTATTGCTGCTTCTGGCCATACAACTTAAAATTCAGTTTTTTTCTAATGGTCAGGAGTGTCATGTCTATACATATAGCCTGCCCTATTTTATATTTGTTTTTCCCTGAAGTTGTAGTATAAAGTAAAGTGCATGCATTTGACTATGTAGAATACTGAGTATTTTAGACATCTCAAACTTGCTATGATAATTGGTAACATCCTAATAGGACAGTTAAAAGAGTTCTTCTTGACTCTAAAATCTCCCTTCCCTTCTTATTCAATCACCTGCCAAGTCCGGTTGAATCTTCCTTTGAAGTGTCTCTTATATTTGTCCCATCTTTTCCATTATCCCTACTTTGGATCCTTGTTTACTCATACCTGAATGTTTGTGAGTATCTTATAACTCATTTCCCTACATTCATACTCTTTCTCTAGTCCATCTAACCTTTCTTGTACACCACTGTCCTCTTTATATTTTCTCATTCATCTGCTTCAGTGACTGATCACTGCCTATAGGATGTAGACTGAACTCGCCAGTTTGGCATTCAAGGCCCTCCTCAGCCTTCCTGGCCCTCTCTGGTCATATGGCCCACTCCCCTTCTGGGTGTACAGCGTTCTCTGATCCTCAGAGTGAGGGTTCTGACTTGGATTTTCTTCTTCCTAGTGCACAGTGCCGTGGTAAATGCCCTTTCCTTTCACCCGTCCGGAAACTACCTGATCACAGCTTCCAGTGACTCAACACTGAAGATTCTAGACTTGATGGAAGGCAGGTTGTTATATACTCTTCATGGCCATCTGGTGAGTTCCATAAAGAAACACTTCAATGTCTCTGTAGATCCAGGGCCTTAAAGAAATTCGTCCAGACCTAAAATAATCTCAAGTAGCAGGACACAGTATGGAAAAATATTTTCTCTGGCCACGTTCTTGGTCCTTCTGTTGAACGGCATGGAGTGGCAGGTCAGAGAAAAAAGGTCTAGAGGATCCTCAATGATGTGGGCTGGAGGCCCTTAGAGAGCCTGTGGATCAGCCATGTGGGCAAAAAGATCTGCTGGAAAAAGGCTTGGGGAGGCAGGGTTTAAGAAATGACAAGGCTAAGGGCAATCTTATGTCTTAGGGGATACCACCACTGTCCTGGTAAGAAACCTTAGTTATGTTGGAAAGCCAATGCAGATGAAGCATTGGAAGTGGAGTCAGGAAGGCTTTGGTTTGGTGATAGGATCATGGTTGTCAGTCTGTCTGTAAAATGGGGATAATGGGGCAGCTAGGTGGAGCAGTGGATAGAGCTCTGGCCTTGGAGTCAGGAGGACCTGAGTTCAAATCTGGCTTCAGACACTTGACACTTACTAGCTGTGTGACCCTGGGCAAGTCACTTAATCCCAATTGTCTCACTGAAAAGCAAAAAATAAATAAATAAATAAATAAAATGGGGATAATCTCTGTAGACCTTAGCTCACAGGGTTGTAGTGAGGCTAACATGAAGGAAGGCATGTGAAGTGCTTGGCAAACTTGAAAGGCAGTGACGGTAGTCCACTTTGAATATCCTCAGAGAATGCTGTGCCTTTGCTGCTGCTGCCTCTGAACTTTATTGATATCATGCCCTAACCAGCTGTAATCCTTAACATGTTCTGTCCCTTCTGTCCACATTTTCTGGGAGAAGAGAAAACTGTGCTTTTTAGGAGTGGTAACAGCACATGCCATTCTGGGCCTCATTAGGCAAATCATTCAGAAATCTTTTTTCAACTTTCCTTTTTTTTTTTTACTATTCACTGAATTTTCTCTGAAGTTGAGTTCCAAGAGTTACCTCCTACTCTTTGAGAGCTTCCAAGCTGTCTGTCTAAAGCACCTTCTCAACTTTCCGGAGGAGCCAGGACCACCAAGGCCTGCTGTTGGTCAATGGCAGAACATTTTATTTGGGGCATGGGAGATTTGTTGCCTGATGAATTTGCCTCTCAAAGGAAGGATTTCCTGTGTGGATAGGATGTCTGCCTCCATGTTTCTGTTTCATGTGTTAATATTGTCGTCACTATGTAGGGGTACTTGGCAGCCTGGTCTAGTGGCAAAAAAAAACCAACCTTGGTTTTAGGTTCAGTAGTTCTGGGTTCAAGTTTTGATGCTGTCAATCACTAGTTGCATATCCCTGGATATAGAATACACCTCCTGAGCCTCTAGTGCACAGTGAGCGTCTCTGAGCCTCAATTTCCTTTGTCTGCAAAATGGGGATAATAATAATGATTCTGTCTGCCTTGCAGGGTCGTTGGGGTGAGGCTCAGATTGATAGTGGATATAAGCAGTCAGTGATTGTAAAGCACTATACAGATAAAGCTTCTATCATTACCACTCAGCTATAGCTCTCCCTGCATGATCTCTTCCCTTCTTCCCTTTCCCCCCCACTTTGTGTCACAGCCCATTGGTTGTTGGCTCTAGGGATTAGCATTTCATTACTTGTTCTTTACCAGTGAAACGGAACATTGGGCAGCTAAGGCTTTCCATCCCTGGGTCTTGCCTAGAGCAACCTTGGGCCCCATGCTGTCTGGCCATGAAGGCAGCAGGAGACTTCTTGCTGCTTCTGTTCAATGTGCCAGGGTTTTGTGGAGGCCGGAGAGCCTGTCTCCTACCAACCGCTGACTTCTTTCTGGCTCTGGCCAGGCTGTGTTCCAGTGACCTTTGAAACAGTATAACAGCCTCCAGTTAACCTCTTGGGGAGAGTTGCTTATATATAGGAAAGAAATATGTATGAAAAAGGGGCCTGGCATCAGCTTCTGTGTAACTTATGGCAGCTTCAGCCTTTTTTAAGGGATAGTTCTTTCTGTCTCGAGCAGTTCCTCTTATTGGTGGCAATATGGTATAGTGACAAGAACACTGTACTCTCAGGTTCAAATCCAGCTCTTCTCCTTTCTGTCTGGGTGACTCTAAATGAGACACCTAGCTTGGCTCAGCCTCAGTTTGCTTATCTGGAAAATGGATGTCATCATCCTTGTACTGCCAGTTTCACATAGAGGGCGGTGCTAACTGGTGTGATAGAAAGGCAGTCTACAAAGATTTATTAAGCACCTGCCATGTGCCAGATACTAAACCCTGGGGACACAAAAAGACAACAACAAAACAAAAACTCTCTGCTGTTATGGAGCCCACAGTCTAATGGGGGAGACAACATGCAAACAACTATATACAGACAGTTGTAAATTGTAGTAAATTGGAGATAATCAACAGAGAGAAGTCACTAGCATTAAGGGGGACCCAGGAAAGGCTTCTTGTAGAAGGTGGGGTTTTAAGTGGGACTTGAAGGAAGCCAGGAGGCAGAGATGAGAGGGAGAGCATTGCAGATATAGGGGATAGCCAGGCAGTGAAAATGCCCAGATTCTGGAGATATGGAGTGTCTTGTGAAAGGAACAGCAAGGAGGATGTTGTCACTCGATTGCAGAGAGAAATAAGATGTAAGAATACTGGAAAGGTAGGAGGAGGTCAGGTCTGAAGAGTTTTCTGTTTGATTCTGAAGGTGCTACAGAGCCATTGAGTTTCTTGAATTGGGGGATGGGAGGTAGGGTTGGACTGGTTAGACTTGTGCTGTAGGAAGATCAGGTAGACCTCTGAATAGAGTAGAGGAGAGACTGGAAGCTGGGAGACCAACCAACCAACAGTCTATTGCAAGTCTGGGTGTGAGAAGATGAGAATCTGGACCAGGGAGATCACAGTGTCAGAGACGGGAAGGGGCAGAAAGAAGAGATGTTTTGAAGGTATCATCACTAGATTGGCCGGGGAGGGGTGAGAGTGAGGAGTTGATGAACTTGGTGTTGAGCCTGGGGGACTGGGAAGATTGCAGTGCCCTTGACAGTAGTAAGGAAGTTCAGAAGGGGGAAGATTTTAGGGGAAAAGATAGTGAGTTCAGTTTTAGACATGCTGAATTTAAAATGTCTGCTGGGATCAGCATCAGTGTAACTTATGGCAGCTTCAGTCTTTTTTAAGAGAGAGTTCTTTCTATCTCAAGCATTTCCTCTTATTGGTCACTGTACTCTCAGGTTCAAATCCAGCTCTTCTCCTTCCTGGCTGGGTGACTCTAGATGAGATACCTAGCTTGGCTCAGCCTCAGGCTCTCTTGCCTACAGAAGACCCCGGCACATTGAACAGAAGCAGCAAGAAGCTGCCTGCTGCCTTCACGGCCAGACAGCATGGGGCCCAAGATGTCCACTAGGTAATTGGCAGTGTGTGAATGGAGGTCAGGAGAGAGGTTAAGGTTGGGTAAGCAGATCTCAGAATCATCTGTTAAGTCTACAGGAACTAATGAGCTCACCAAGTAATACAGTACAGAGGAAGGAGAATAGCAGAGGACCTGGACAGAGCCTGGGGGACCCCACAACTAGTGGGAACGATCTGGATGAAGAGTCAGCAAAGGAGACTGAGAAGGAGCAATCAGACAGGTGGGAGGGAGTGTAATGAAACCCTAGAACCTCCTGAATTTGGATACAGAGGACCTGGGGTTCTCTTCTTTATCAGCTGTGTGGCATTGTAAGTCACTTAATTTCTCTGGGCCTTAGTTTCTTTATCTTGGAAGGGAAGGAAATAAACATTTATATAGCACCTACTGTGTGCCAGGCATTGATTCTCACAACCACCCTCAGAGGTAGGTGGTGTTATTATCCTCATTTTATGATTGAGGAAACTGAGGCAAAGAGAAGTTTAAGTGACTTGCCCAGGGTCATACAGCTAGTAATTGTCTGAGGTCAAATTTAAACTCAGATCTTCCTGACTCCAGGCCTGGTGCTCTACCTACCACTGCCTAGTTGCCTCTTTGAAATAAAGATACTGGGCTAGATCAGGGGTGGGAAACCTACAGCCTCAAGGTCACATATGACCCTCCAGGTCCTCAAGTGTGGCCCTTTGACTGAATTCAAATTTCACAGAACAAACCCCCTTAATAAAAGCATTTGTTCTGTAAAACTTGGACTCAGTCAAAAGGTCACATGTGGCCTCGAGGCTGCAGGTTTTCCCCCCTGGGCTAGATGACCTCTAAGATCTCTTGCAGCTCTAAATCTGGGATTCCGTATAAAGGCAAGCTGTTATTATGATTGTACCTTTGCCTTGGTAGCTAATTATGCTAAAAATAATGTGGCATACTAACATGTGAATTTGGGAACAGGTGTGGCCCTGTTCCAATTGAAAAAAAAAAAAACAAAACCAAAAACCCCAAAACCCAAAGAAAAATACTTACCAACCAGATCAATTAGATAGCAGTTATTTGAGTCACAAAAGGTTTCCTACCTGTTATAGCCTTCCTTTAAATAGGATGCTGTCATAATGCTTTTAGAGTTCTCCAATTCTCCCTGACCTTCTGGTCTTCAGAAACACCTGGATTCTATAAGTTTGAGATACAGGGGGACCTTCTCTGAAAAGTAGCAGAGAAATTTGGAACCAGACCTGTTGCTTGTGGTTGGCAAACACTGGAAAGTACCCTTTTCAAATGAGTGAAATTTTTTAAGAAGAATTTTTTTTAAAAAATCACTTCTCTTGTGTGATAACCAGTTTACATCACAGCACTTGAGAGTTAGAAGGGGTTTCTATAGCTGTGTAACCTCTTCAACATGGCGATTAAGTGGTCAGAAAGCCTTGGCCTGAAGCCCTCCACGGAGGGAGCTATTTCCTGTGGCAGGCCACTCCACCAGCTCCAGTGCCTCAGAACTTATTCCTGACATCAAACCTCCATTTGCTTTTTTTCGACTTTGACCCAGTGCTCCTTGTTCTGCCCCCTCTTCTACATAAAAGCCCCTGTTAAATACAGGACCATAGTTCCCAGAGGTCTCTATCAACTGGTTCCTTCCCTGTTGCCTTCAAAGTGCTGAAGTCTTGTCTCCCTGAAAACCTTCACTAGACCCTAGGATCCCCTCCAGCTATTGTCTTGTATCCATTCCGTTTCTCAGCCAAACTCCTTGGAAAAGGTGTTTACACTGTCTTGCTTCACTTCTCCCTCACTCTTTGGTTCTTTGCATTCTGGCTTTTGGTTTTATCACTCAAATTACTGTCTCCAAAGTTACCAGTGGTTTCTTAGTTGACACATCTGGTGGCCTTTCCTCAGCCCTCATCTTCCTTGGCCTCTGCTGCCTTTGGCCCTCCTGCTCTTTGGATTTTGTTGTTGTTCTTGAGTCATTTTCAGTTGTGTCCAACTCTCTGTGACCCCATTGGGGGTTTTCTTAGCAAAGATACTGGAGTAGTTTGCCATTTCCTTCCCCAGTTCGTTTTACAGATGAGGAAACTGAGTTAAACAGGGCTAAGTCACTTGCCCAGGCTCATACAGCTAGAGGTCAGATTTGAACTCAGGGTCTTCCTGACTCCAGGCCTCGTACTCTAGCTACTGTGACACATAACTGCCCCATTGGGTTTTTGTAGCATTCTTGTTTTGGTTTGCCTCCAGAATAACTGCTCTTTCTGTCTCCTTTGCTGGCTCTTCATCCAGAGCCTTCATCCACTCCTAACTGTGGATGCCCTAAAATTCTGTCCTGGGCTGCTTTCTCTTTCCCCTGTCTACTCTCTGTCTCGGTAACCCCATTAGCTCCCATGCTGTGCACTCTGACCTCTGTTCAGATGATTCTCCAGATCTGTATATCCATCCTCAGCCTCTCTCCTGAGCTTCAATACCATCTCATCAGTTGCCTGTTGGACATTTAGAACTTGATATCCCAGAGGCAGGTAGATATTGTCATAGTGTGCAGAGTGCTGGATATAGAGCCAAGAAGACCAGAGTTTAAATATGAGCCCAGACACTTACTAGCTCTGTGACCTTGGGCAAGTCACTTAGCTTCTCTCTGGTTCAGTTTCCTCCTCTGTAAAATGGAGGTAATAAAATGAACAAATATTTGCAAAGCTCTTTGCAAACCTTAAAGTGGTATATAGATGTTCGCTATTATTATTGCTGTCTAAAACACAACATATCTAAAACTGAACTTGTTATTTTTCCCTCTAAACTCTCTTATCTTCCAAACTTCCCTATTTCTCAAACAGTTGGTGCTCAGAGGCACCAGCATCCTTTCAGTACCTTAGGTTCATAATCCTAGCATTATCCAGTACTCCTCACTCTCATCTCATCTGTCTAGTCAGTTGCTAAGTCTTGCTGTGTCTGCTTTCACAACATCTGCATCTGGCCCCTTCTCTCTGCTCTCACAGCTGCCACCTTAGTTCAGACCCTCATCATCTCTTGCCTAGATTATTATAATAGCCTCCTAAATTGGTCTCTTGCCTATCCTCCATCAAAATGACTACTACCAAAGTAATTTTCTTTTGGGCTATTAAACATCTCTCTAAAGCCCTATGCAACCTGGTCCCAACTTATCTTTCCAGCCTCCCAGGACATTACTCACACTCTATGACCTAGCCAGACTTCCCCCAAACTGGCCTTCTGTGTTTTCCTCACTCATGGCATGCTATTTCTTATCTCAGTGCCTCTGCACTGGGCAGAGGTGCAGCCTTTCCTAGTCTTTCCAGTTCGAGTGCCATCCCTCCCAAATTATCTTGTATGTAACTGCTCCCTCTGGGTATTTATTAACTTTATATTTATCCCCTCTCTGTTTTTATATGTTCTTGTTATCTCCCTATAAAAAGGTAAACCAGTAGAGATTTTTATTCTTTGTACTGATATCCCCAGTGCTTACCACAGCACCTGGTGCAAGTGCCTACATAAAATGTACAAATAAGTGGTTGTTGGTTGATTGATCTCCTCTGAGTCTTGTCTTCCTCAGGCTAAACTAAACATCCACAGTTCCTTCAGATGGTCCTCATAAGTAGCAAGTATAAGCCCTTCACCATCCTCATTGCTCTCCTGAATGTTCTATTTTATCTATGAGCTTTCTAAACTGTGTTACTGAGAAGTCAGAACAGCATTTCAGATTTGGTCTGACAGTGGCCTAGAAATTCTTCTTCTTTTTTTTTGTTTTTGTTTTGTGAGGCAGTCGGGGTTAAGTGACTTGCACAAGGTCACACAGCTAGTACGTATCAGGTGTTTGGTCTGAGGCCGGATTTGAACTCAGGTCCTCCTGACTTCAGGGCCGGTGCTCTATCCGCTGTGCCACCTAGCTGCCCCCTAGAAATTCTTCTTCATGGAAATTATTCTTTTCTTCATGCAGATGAAAATTGTATTCTTTTTTTCTGGCTATCAGAATACTCTATTGTAGTCCACTATCTCTCCCCCCTCTCTCTTCCCCAATCTTTTCTAACAAACTGCTCTTTAACCATATCTTTCTCGTTCTGTGCTTAGGAAGTTGACTTTTTGAACCTAAGTATAGAATTTCACATTTACCCCATTAAACTTCATCTTAGATTCAAGCCAGTGCTCTCCCTTACTTTCTTAGTCACAGAGAATCAGTGTGACATGGGGAATAGAGAGCCAGCCTGAAAACCAGAGTTCAAAACTGGGTTCAAGTCCCACCTTGGACACTTGCAGGGATGGTAACGACCTGCATTGGTAGAGGGGGTTTACTCATCTGGCATTTTCTGCCAGAAGTGTGAAATTCACCACCAGAAACAATTTTGGTACCAGATTAAATTGTAATTGGAAAATGTTTAATAAAATAAGTAAAAGTACAATAAAACATAGATAACTGATAATTTGTAGTTTTAAAGTCAATATGGGACAGAGATCTGTTTCTATTTAAATTTGACACTAGCTTCTATGGTAATGAAATTGCAGGTACAGTCCCTATCCCTATCCTTTAACTTCTCCTGTTACTCTCCTTTATGAGATACTACTACTCATAATCATTTATCATCCTTTGTAAAATCTTACTGGTAGGTTTACATTGTAAGCTTTTTTTGGGTGCCATCTTTCTCTCCTTGGTAAGTGAGTAAGTTTTTGCTAACTGAAACGCTTTCCTGACTGTCTTGTGCCGATTGATTGCATAGTTTCAGCGTCTATACAGAATAATCATAATTGCTGTGTCATTTCTGTTGTCTCTTTCCTATTTTTAATTATGAATCACTTGTTTGAATAGTTTAGAATTGTGTTGTTTCAATTGTGTGTGTTCCATGTCTTTTTCTTCTTATTCTTTCTTCTAACTTTTTACTAATTCTGATCTTTGCTCTAAGTTGGTAGTCTCTGCATAGACAGGTGATTTAGAGATGACTCCTATGTCAATATATTTTTTCATTTCTGTTAAAATATTGCAGGTTTCATTTTTTTGTGATGTTATTTGGTACTTGCCATATCCAGTGCTTACGAACTCTTTTCTTGCAGAAAATGTTCATAATGTAAAGGCACATATCCTCCAAGTCTCTGACCTTGCCTTTCTTTTTTCCAGAGCTGCACTTTCCAACAAATTTCTTACGGTCCTTACCTTTTCCTACTTTTGCATCAAGTCACTGTATATTATATATATAATTTGGAGGGTTTTTCTTATCAAGTTCTTCATAGAATTTCTCTACCTCTCCATCTGCTCCTGATGTTGGCACAGAAGCTGCTATTATTTTCATGGTTGTCTTTTTTGCAATACCTACAATCATTGTAATATGAGGTAACCAATAAAATCAACCCCATCAACTTCTTTCTTTGCATCTCCAAGGAGTATCTACGTGATATACTTCAATTTAACGTCAAATTCCTTCTTCTGGTTTTATTTATAGCGAGAGTATCAAGATTAAAATGTTTGAACTCCTTCAGTACTATGTCTAATTCCTAGTCATTGGACAAGGATCTTTCATTTAGAGTACCAACAGCCAAATCAAAGTTTATAGACAATTGAAAAATTGTGATTCTTAGCATAAGTAGAGGAGGAGTAGGACTAAGGGTCATCCTGGGTGGGTTTTTTTGTTGTTTGTTTGTTTGTTTGTGGATTGCCAAGTCACTGATGAAAGGAGCAAGAATGGCTTGTGGGTACTACACTGGACATCTGTTATCAAGTTGACATCAAACTTTTTTTTTTTTTGGTTTGTTTGTTTTAGGCAATTGGGGTTAAGTGACTTGCCTAGGGTCACACAGCTAGTAAGTGTCAAGTGTTTTGTCTGAGGCCAGATTTGAACTCAGGTCCTCCTGACTTCAAGGCCGGTGCTGTATCCACTGCGCCACCTAGCTGCTCCGACATCAAACTATTAACAATGACTGAGTCTAGTCATTCAACTAGCAATTCTGAATACATCTAATTATCCTATTCTGTATAATTTCTTATTTTTTTTCTGCAAGAATAGGTAACAGGGGACTTTGTCTAATACTTTGCTAAAATCTAGGAAAAATATACTGGTACCATTTTTCTGATCTACCAGTCTAGTAACTGACAATAAAGGAAATAAGGTTTGTAGTCATGACCTGCTCTTCCTTTTTTGTGAATGCACCTTTTTTTGGTGGATATTCACTAAACTGCT